GGCTTCCTGCTGGTGCTGGAGCGGCCCGAGCCGGCGCAGGACCTCTTCGACTTCATCACGGAGCGCGGCGCCCTGGACGAGCCCCTGGCGCGCCGCTTCTTCGCGCAGGTCCTGGCCGCCGTGCGCCACTGCCACGGCTGCGGGGTCGTGCATCGCGACATCAAGGACGAGAACCTGCTGGTGGACCTGCGCTCGGGCGAGCTTAAACTCATCGACTTTGGCTCGGGCGCGCTGCTCAAGGACACGGTCTACACCGACTTCGACGGTGAGCACGGGTGTGGGGGGAACGTTCCAGCGACCATGGCGACGGGTAACGCCCGCAGGGGGGGTGACACAGAGGGACTGGTGACTGTTGGGCGGCCGCGCGCGCCTCTGGCATCCTCTCGTGGGCCAGGGCCCGCACACTGCTGTGGGAGGGCTGAGCGAGGGATCGCGAGCCGAATCGTGCTGGGTTGGGGGCGAGGGGTGTGTTCAGGACTGCTCCCTTTCCTGCGTTGGGGCGGTACATGGGTTCCCTGCGGGGGTTGGGGGTGCGTGGGATCCTTCAGGGCCGCGAGACTCTAGCTTGAGGAGTCCCAGCGATGCGCCAGTGTGACTCGAGGCGCAGCAGGGCTGGGTATGCGCTGGTGCCTAGAGGGTCCCCTCCATGAGGTAGGAGCGGCGCTACAGCGGGGCCTCCCCCTGTAGGGGCGGGAGCTGCGTGCGTGCTGAGCGCGGGGGCGCCGCGGCAGAAATCCCCGCATTGCGGAGCGCGGGGAAGCCGGGGCTCCCCGTCCGCCCCCTCCTTTTCACCCTCCTCCGCCTCCCTCCTCCGGCTCCCGCAGGCAGGCGCCGGGCGGGTGCGGGCTGTGAGGGATGGCGCTGCGGGTCCTGGTAGCCTCACATCACATCTGTTTGTTGTGAAACCCGAGCCCTTGCTCATGTGACCCGCTCCTCCTCCCAGCCGGGGCCAGCTGGGGGGGGGGGCTGGCCCCTCCCCTCCCTTCTCAAGGCCCCGCCCGCTGGGCCGCCGCCGGGGTTTTTCCAGGGTGATGACAAGCAGGATTTTGAGGCCTGGCTGTCTCTCCTGTGATTTAGGCCAAGGAGTTAATTATCGGAGAGCATGCCCAGCCTCACTCGGGCTGCTTGCTGCCAGCCTCGTGTGGCTCAGACCCCTGGGGTGGAAGTCCTAACTCCTTTGTATGCCTTATGTTCTCTCAGGCACCCGGGTATACAGCCCCCCAGAGTGGATCCGGTACCATCGCTACCACGGGCGCTCAGCCACCGTGTGGTCTTTGGGAGTGCTGCTTTATGACATGGTGTGCGGGGACATCCCTTTCGAGCAGGACGAGGAGATTCTCCGTGGTCGCCTGTTTTTCCGAAGGAGGGTCTCCCCAGGTGTGTGGGAGGTGTTGGGCCTAGTTGGCAGGAGGCGGGGAGACCTGACCCCCATGGTTTTCTGACTCCTCCTCTCCCCACAGAGTGTCAGCAACTCATTGGGTGGTGTCTGTCCCTGCGGCCCTCGGAGCGGCCCTCATTGGACCAAATCGCTGCCCACCCCTGGATGCTGGGTGCTGACGGGAGTGCCCCAGAGAGCTGTGATCTGCGGCTCTGCGCTCTGGACCCTGATGACGGGGCCAGCACCACGTCCAGCAGTGAGAGCTTATAAGGGCCTACGCCTGGTGTGGGGGAGCAATGGGACCACCTGCCTCGGCCAGCACCCCCAACGCCCCCAAACACTGAAGTTCTCCTGCCTGGGCTGTCTCCTTCTGCAGAAGCAGTGACCTCTGACCCCTGGTGACCTTTGCTTTGAGTGCCTTTTGAACGCTGGTCCCACGGGACTTGGTTTTCTCAAGCTCTGTCTGTCCAAAGACGGCTCCGGTCAAAGCGAGGTCTCGCCTGCCCTGGGTGGATACTTGAACCCAATACGCCCCTCTCTGTGCTGCTCTGTCTGGGAGGTGGCCTGCCCGTCTGTCTGACTGTGTCTGACCCGGAGCATTCTCTCAGTTGGACCCAGGGTCCCCGTGCCCATCACCCGCCCTCAGTCCTGCGGTGTGCGTCTGGGCATGTCCATGCACAAGCAATGCAACGTACGGGCCTCTGTGCCCGCCCGCCCACCCACGCGAGCTATGTCTGCGCGTGCCACGTCTGTTATTTATGGTGTGACCCCGTGGAGGGCGCCCCCGGCCCACCGGGGCTATTTATTGTTTAATTTATTTGTTGAGGCAACTTCCTCTGAGCAGCCCTGCCTCCTCCAGGCCCCTGGGGGCAGCGGGGAAGGGAGGAGAGGGGATGGCTTTGAGGTACACAGACACCCAGGTCCTGATTCCTGCGCCTGGTGTGTTCCTAGCCCCGCCTATGTCTGTCAGAAGATGAACTTGTACAGTGGCTAATTTAAGGGGAGTGGGTGACCCCAATACCTCCAGGCACTCTGCCCTGGGAGGGTGGGTTTTAAATTATTGACTTTGTACAGTCTGCTTGTTGGCTCTGAAAGCTGGGGGGTGGGGGGGGAACAGAGTCTCAAGCCTTTAATTTATTTTAGCACCTGTGTTTCTGTGGTCCCGGTGTGTGTAGGCATCGTGGATGGGGATTTCTTTCAGTTAAAAAGTGAGATGTCTGGAGATCATATTTTTTTATACAGGTATTTCAATTAAATTTTTTTTGTATATAGTGGATATCCTGTGTTTATTGGGTTTGGTGGCCTGGGGTGAGAGAAGGAGGCTCTGAGATAAAGGGATTTTTGACCTCTGGATAGCCCCCTTCCAGGCTTCCTGTGGGGGCAGGAGTTTTGCCCACTGGTAGAACCGGTGGGGGTCTACTCTCCTGGATAGCTAACCTGGCCCTTACCTCCCCTGCGGCAGAAGATACTGCTTGTGGCTTGTGGCCTACCTCACTACTCTTTTCTTCACATCCAGGGAGAGGCAGCTGGCTCCTTGGGAGCCTCTGGAAGGAGATGGCATTGCCACCACCAGTCTTACAGGCCATGCCTGGGGTGGCCCCAAGAGGACCTCTGAGGACTCTGTTCTTACAGAGGTCTGGTCAGGGCTGGGCAGTGGAAGTGTTCACATGTGTACCCTGACCTGGGCCACTCGGAGGTGTATGGGTTTGGACGGGGTTCTGTGCTGCCTCAGAGGACTGGTTAGGGGTTCTGAAGGATGAGTAGGAGTTTGCCAGGTAGATGGGGTGGGAGGGTGTTTAGTCAGTGCAGATGGCACGTACAGAAGACAGGTGTGTAGGGTCTGGTGGGGGGCTAGTGTTGAGGTGTGCAATCAGTTATAGTTGGGCCCTGGCCTGGTAGGTATGGGGCATGAGGGTGAAGGCACCACAAGCCAGGTCCAGGTATGGCGATGGGCCCAGCCACAGTGTTCTGGGCTGGTGGAGGAGGCCTGAAGAGGGTCCTGGTACAGCCTGCTTTTCCTACCCCGCCCCAGGGGCTCTCTGCTTGGCTGCTTCCAGTCCTGGGCCATTGGGCTCCCACATGTCCTCGGCCCTGGTACCCCATGCTGGCACTGAACCTACACCCTAAGGCAGTACCCAGTCTGCATAGCACGCCTGCTTTGAGCTCCCAACTCAGCCCTGTTCTCCCCCATCCATCTCCCTGCTAAGAAGTTCCTGATGGGTACTGCAGCCCTGGACAGAGAAACAGCCCTGGACTGAGGCTACAGTGAGGCAGGACTTCTGAAAGATGACACAAGAAGAATGAAGTTTCCTTTCCTCTGAAGAGCAGGCAGAAAGGGCTAGATGAGGGCTCCTGGCTTAACTACTGTCATTCCGAGTCAGAAGAGTGCATGTGGCTCGTTTCTGAGGAGCCACTGCCGAAGCCCAGGTTCCTGGAGGGCAGCTGCTCGGTTAGGTCCTGCAGGACCTCTCCAGCATCAGAGTGTGGGGCAGGTGGGGGGAAGGACAGCTCACCTGTTCCTACAGCCCTGGCCTGGCCAGCTGGCCCTGGATTCACCCAGGTCTGGCAGAGCTCTTCCCATTACATTCACCACCCCCTATCCCACACCTACCAGGCCAGCGCCCACTCAATCCCCTGCACCAAAAGTGGAACCCTCAGGCAACAGTCCTGGGATGTGAGGCTGGACCTCAGGGGTTTCCTGGTGCAGATGCTCTTAGGTTGACAGCATCTCCACAACATCCAGGCTGCTACACCCCACCCTGACCACACAGTGACCTGTGGTGGTGACACTAGTCACCCTGGCCCCAGCTCCCCCACATGCTGAGGGTACCGGGCCTCTTGCGGACTTGACCATCCTCCTCTCCATCCTTCATCCATCCATCCATTCAGACAGAGGTGAGAGGCCAAGAGGAGCAGCAAGGCTGCCCCTACTTTCCCAGTGCCCATCTCATCCCCACTGCCTTGACCTTTCTGTCTCCATTCTAACTCTTTGGGGCCTGGACACCCCATGGACACCCCTTGGACACTGCTGTCTGCCTGACCCTGGGTTGGATGCTCCTAATTCCACTCATTCCATTTGCTGGTCTCTCATGCCTGGTCTGATTCGCTGCTGAAGTAGTTTCCAGTCATCACTCAGCTCCACCAAGCAAAAACTCTCCACCCTGGTTGCCCTTGGAGAAACAGGTCCAGAGAGTCAGGAACCTTGTGTAGATGCCAGAATATGACTCCAGCCCCTTCACTGTCCTGCCCTGCACTGAGGATACTGCTGAGGACTAGGCTGGAGACTCCTTCTCTACGGTGATTGAGGCTTACAAGGTAGATTGAGGCAGTGGCTATGACACTGGGAATGGGTACTGAGTGCTGCTTGAGACTCCCAGTGTGCTATTTCTAACATGAGATGGGATGCTGAAGGGGGACATAGGAGGAGATGGAGGACCCATCCAGCCTCAAGTTCTTCCTTCTCCTTGGCCACACACTATCTGCCTGGCTGGGCACCACAGCACAGGGTGGACAGGAGAGGATGAAGGATGCCTGTGTGCCTTTCCTGGCCTCTTGGATGCCAGAGAAGTCTCTGAGGGCACAGTCCTAGTCCCAAGACATCAGCAGAATTCCAGAGCTGGAATGCCAGGAATACTATGTACCTTCCCTGCCTGCTGCAATTCTGGCTCTGCTGGGCCACTTGTCTTTGGGTGCGGGACAAAGGGGGAGGATTACCACCCCCTAATCCTCTCTAGCCCCCAGGCTCTGTGTCTAGGTGCCCCTACACCCTTCTCCCAGACATTCCCCTGGGGCTCTTGCAGGATCTGAGTGACCTATGTTCCTGGAGATGGACCTGAGCCTTTCCTTCCCCCAACCACCCTCAACACAGACTCTGCATCTGGCTTCTATCTGGGGGAAGAAGCCTGGCAGAGTCCACCTGGGCCTCTCCTGGGGGTGCTCAGGCTCCTTCACAACTGGGTCCCTCCCACCCTTTCTGGGCAGCCTCCCAGACTACAGCACCCCCTTGGCCACTTGGGGTCAAGTGATCATGTTACTCTAGCCATGCTCACACCTGCAGGGTACACATCAGGTGAATAGTCTGGATCTGGGGTAGATCAGCCTCAGCTGCACAGACCCCCCTCCCCTCACTGTCCCACTCATAGGTGTCAGGAGGGCCATGGAGGTGAGTGAGGGTCGTGTTGACTCATGCTGAACTTGTCAATCGTGTTTTGCAAACATCAGCAGGACACCCTCTTCTGCTCTCTTATCTGCTTGTCAGACCAGCCTTGTCATGGTGCCTAGACTTTAGGGCCTGGGAGAGGGGCCTCCTCAGACTTAAGTCCTCTTGGGTTCGGGGGCTTATCACAGGCAGGACCCTGACCCTCCCCGAGGCCGGCACTGTTGGCCATGGAGATGTCTCTGGGGCTGGACAAGAGAGGGACAGGCTGCCCTAGAATGAAGACTGCCTGGGAGCATGACCCACTGAAACTCTGACCTGTTCTCCTCCAGGCTGTGAGGCTCCTAGGTCTTTTCTTCCTCCTTTACTCACTGCTGCACTCCCAGGAGATTGTGTCCAGGTTCTGTACTCCCCTAGCTCTGCCCACGTCCACATGCTGGTCTCTCTTCTTACGCCTGGTCTGATTATTTTCTGCTGGGCTAGTCTCCCATCACCACTCAGCTTTTAATATCTTTAGCCAATTTGCTGATTTAATATCTAGAGGTGTCCTTCAGAACCATTCTGTTAAGTTCTGGAAAGCATCCACCCGAAGGGGAATCCTGAACAGGCTGTGGCCCTCCTTACATCACGTGACACACTGCTGTTCTAGCTGTCGGCAGGCTGCATCAAGAGGATGCCACCCCCGGCTCACTCGGCAGCCTTTGAACTGGTTGGTTTGTTCACAGCTGGGCCCCTGAGGCTGACCAGCTGGTAAACAGGTCAGGGGATGGGTGAGGCTGATTGTGCCCTTCGACCTACCCAGCACCCATGAAGTAGTGAGGCTCCAAGGGTTGCTCTTCTTGCCACCCTGCATTGTCCACTTCTACTGGCCTCCTTGCCCACTGGGCCCAAGGCCAGCTCAGCTTCCCAGAAAGAGAGAGAGGCTGGCTATAGACTTCTGTCTCCAAGGCTGACCTCCTGTAGCCACCAGGGCCTTGCTAAGTTTCTTTCCTCCGATGCAGCTCCAGAAACGAAACCCTGGCATGGCTTTGGTGCCACAACTGTGCAGCAAAGGGAAGTGATCACTGGCAGCCTCTGTGAGCCTGCCTCCCCCAATCGGGCACCCAGACCCCAACTGCCTCACAAGCCCCTGTACTACAGTGAAAGCAGAACATAAAGAAAATGCGTACTAAGCCACCTGGACAACTCTGTGGCTACTTATGCCAGGTCTGGCACCAGCCCACAGAGCATGGGGGTAGTAGGAGCTCACTGGGTTCCTGTCCACCCCTGATCTCTGGCTGAAGCTGGGGGCGGGGTGCAAGCCAAATTCCAGCCCTAGGATTTCTCAATGGGTCCTTCCTCTTTCTGCAGAGACCTCTTGATGGGGGCAGGAGGGGGTCGCCTGAGCCTCCAGCACATGACTTCCAGGACAGCCAGCTTTCCCGGCAGCCTTAGTGAAACCCTGAGCTTTGATTACACAACTGGCTGCCCCCCTCTCTGCCCCCAGAGTTCCTGGCAGTCAGGCCTGGCCAGGCAGAGTGGGGACAGGACCTGCCCCTCCAGCCCTAGTCAGTGCCCTCTTTCTGGCCAGGACCCTGCAAGAAAGTCCTCCCAGGGAGCTGTTCCTCAGATGTTGGCCAGGGTTAGAGGGTTGGGAGGTTCACTGCTTGATGAACTCAAAACTGAATGAACTGGATGGGGGAAACTGAGGCCCAGGTGTTCAGGGACCCACCCAAGGTCATAAGGAGCCAAGCAGGCCCAGGTATGCAACCTGACCCCTCCACCCAGGAGGAGGGAGCCCTAGGGGAGCGCGTAGCTGGGAACCCCATCTTCCCCATGCAAAGCTCAGGAAGGTGAGCGGCTACTGATCTGGCCTCTGGCCCCAGCCACCTGCTCTCCTGCAAGGTGGTTGCCTAGCCCTGCCTGGCCCCAATCAGCCCTCTGCTCCCCTGCTGACACAGGCAGGGACTAGTTGAGGACCTCCATGTGATGCCACATGCCACTCTCCTGCCCTGAGGCCCCTGTGGCCACTCTGCGGAGGCAAGCTCTGCAAGCTTCATCCTGACTCTGAGACTCTGGTCCACAGTGGGCAGGTGCCCCTGATATTCTGGAGGAGGACCCTGTCAATGTTCTTTG